TATTCCCAAAGTAATCCCCTACTGAAACTTCAACCACCTGGCTGGGCTTATTCCCCAACACCAGGTCCAGTATGGCCCCTTGCCGAGTTGGACTATTTACATACTGCTCTAGAAAACCCTCCTGGATGCTCCTTACAAATTCTGCTCCATTTAAACCCCTAACACTAAGTGAATCCCAGTCAATATTGGGAAAATTAAAATCTCCCATCACTGCCACCCTGTTGCTCCTACATCTTTCCATAATCTGTCTACGTATTTGTGCCTGTATCTCACGCTCGCTGTTGGGAGGCCTGTAGTACAGCCCCAACATTGTTACCACACCCTTCCTATTTCAGAGCTCTGCCCATATTGCCCCACTGCTCGAGTTCTCCATAGTGCCCTCCTTCAGCACAGCTGTGATATCCTCTGACCAATAATGCAACTCCTCCACCCCTTTTACCTCCCTCTCTATCCCGCCTGAAGCAACTATATCCTGGGATATTTGGTTGCCAATCTTGCCCTTCCCTCAACCAAGTCTCAGTAATAGCAATAACATCATACTCTCAGGTACTAATCCAAGCCCTAAGTTCATCTGCCTTACCTACTACACTTCTCACATTAAAACAAATGCACCTCAGACCACCTGTCCCTCTGCGTTCATCATCTGCTCTCTGCCGACTCTTCCCCTTAGCCACACTGACTTCATTTATCTAGTTCCTTACAGGCTTTAGTTACTACCTCCTTACTGTCCACTAACCACCTCATTTGGTTCCCATCCCCCTGCCACATTAGTTTAAACCCTCCCCAACAGCGTTAGCAAAAGCAGCCCCTAGCACATTGGTTCCAGTCCTGCCCAGGTGTAGACCGTCCGATTTGTGATAGTCCCACCTCCCCCAGAACTGGTCCCAAAGTCCCAAAAATCTGAACCCCTCCCTCCTGCGCCATCTCTCAAGCCACTCATTTATCCTGCCTATTCTTTCATTTCTACTCTGACTAGCACATGGCACTGGTAGTCCTCCTGAGATTACTACCTCTGAGGTCCTACTTTGTAACTTCACTCCTAACTCCATAAATTCTGCTTGTAGGACCTCATCCCTTTTTTTACCTATATCATTGGTGCCTATATGCACCACGACAGCTGGCTGTTCACCCTCCCCCTTCAGAATGTCCTGCAGTCGATCTGAGACGTCCCTGACCCGTGCACCTGGGAGGCAACATACCATTCGGGAGTCTCGTTTTTGACCACAGAACCGCCTATCTACTCCCCTTTTTAATCAAATCCCCTATGACTATAGCTCTTCCACTCTTTCCCTGCCCTTCTGTACAGCAGAGCCAGCCACTGTGCCATGAACCTAGCTACTGCTGCCTTCCCCTGGTGAGCCATCTTCCCCCAACGGTATCCAAAACAGTATACCGGTTTTGGAGGGAGATGACCGCAGGGGACGCCTGCGCTGCCTTCCTGCTTTTTTTTTCTGCCTTTTGGTCACCCATTCCCTTTCTCCATCAGTGATCCTAATCTGCGGTGTGACCAATTTGCTGAACGTGCTGTCCATGACTTCCTCAGCATCGCGGACGCTCCAAAGTGAGTCCATCCGCAGCTCCAGAGCTGTCATGCGGTCTAACGAGCTGCAGCTGGACACACTACTTGCACGTGTAGGAGTCAGGGACATCAGCCGCATCCCTGAGCTCCCACATTGAGCAAGAGGAGCATAACACGGGTCTGGGATCTCCTGCCATTTTTACTCTTAAGCTTAGCTTAGTCCTAATATAATATCAAATACTAGATAAATGAAATGAAAAAAATTTGTACCAAATCACTACTTACCAGCACACGATTTTAAAAAAAAAAAAAGAAAAAGAAAAACACTTATCTCATCAACACAGCAGAGTTTTTTTTTTTGGTCAGAGAAGGAGGGTGGGTGGGAGACACTACATGTGTCGTGTCTCTGGTTTAGCCACTGCCCAAATATATCAGTTCACTCTCATTCTGAGAGCGCAATTCGACTGCTCCCACTCAGCTCCACTGCCGAAATGAAGAACTTGCCTCCTGGCAGCCCCCTGGTCCTCGCTCTCAATTCTCCCACTGCTGCTGCTGCAAAAAATGGAGGGTGCCTGGAACGCGTTGCCAGCGGAGGTGGTAGAGGAGGGCACGATAGCGTCCTTTAAGATGTATGTAGACAGATACATGAATGGGCAGGGAGCAGAGGGATACAGATCCTTGGAAAATAGGCGACAGGTTTAGATAGAGGATCTGGATTGGCGCAGGCTTGGAGGGCCGAAGGGCCTGTTCCTGTGCTGTAATTTTCTCTGTTCTCTGTTCTCTGTAGACAGGATGGTTAAGAAGGCATTTAGTAGACTTGCTTTCATTGCTCAGACCTTTGAGTATAGGAGTTGGAATTCCATGTTGAAATTGTACAGAATGTTGGTGAGACCTCTTCTGGAATACTGTCTACATAGGAAGGAGATTATCAAGCTGGACAGGATTCGGAAAAGATTTACCAGGATGTTGCTGGAATAGAGTGTTTGACTTGTCAGGAGAGGCTGTATAGGCTGGGACTTTGTTGTACTGGAGTGTAGGAGGTTGAGGAGTGACCTTCTAGAGGTTTTTGAAATCATGAAGGGTATAGATAAGGTGAATGGCAGGTGTCTTTTCCATAGGGTGGGGAGTTCAAGATTAGGGGGTATATTTTTAAGGTGAGAGGAGAAGAATTTAAAAAGACGTGAAGGGCAACTGCTTTACACAATGCGTGGTTCATGTGTGGAGTGAACTTCGAGAGGAACGAGTGGATGCGTTGGAAAAGTACATGAACAAGAAAGGTTTGTAGGGATAATGGCCGAGCATAGGCAGCTGGAACCAGTTTAGTTTGAGATTCTGGTGGGCGTAGTCAGTCCGAAGGATGTATTTCCATGCTGTATAACTCTGACTATCATTTGAAATGCTTTGCTTTGCTAAATTTCTATATTGGTGACTGAAATAAATTTTCATAAAATAAATTCAAAAAATGAAAAACAAATATAGTAACTTTCTACTTGCATCTTGCCCGCAGCTTTTCCTGCTCAAACACCCCCTGCTCAAACACACCCGCTCTTGTGACATATCCAGTTCCCTGACAGGATCCTCCTTGCGTTGATTCCCCAGTTCGCAGCCTCTACTATTCCTTGATCATGTACGTTCTCCCAATCTCTGATTTCTACCTTCAACTGACTCGCCGTGCGCTCTCGCTCTCAATACATTTGACTGACTGCCTCGCCATTGCCTCGACATGCATGCTCTCACCTGCTCTTCCTTTCTTGCTTGCACTCACGTATGGGTTCTACCTGTTACCAGACATCATGAGGGCTCTGAAAAGGAGCAGCAGGAGGCAGAAGTAACTTCGGTTTTCGAGTTATACTGTGACAGGGAGGCTCAGGCAGAGGCTGTGAACTAGAGGAATGGCAGTGACAGTGAGGGCCATTGAGTGACAGAAGCTGCAAATGAGTCATCTGCATGTGGGTGAGTGAAGCCATGGACCAGAGGATTGGCAACAAATGAGACGGACGCTGGTGCTGATCAGGTCACATCCTACATTCCTAATGCTGTACAGGCATATGGGCCCCAGTATCTAACCAACTGACATTACAACAGAACAGATTAAAATGGGAACTTACTGTAGTTTTTTTTTCAGTTAAAGCAAGCACATGTTGATAGATGAAAAGTTTACATTGAGAATGTGGTACAGCATGATAATGAAGACTATCATGCCCAAGTTTTTGGGAAGCATTACCCATGTGGTGTCCATCTGAACATTCCTGTATGCTGTCCATAAAATGCTGCCTGAGGAATTTAACTGTGCCCTCTGCATAGAAGGTTCTAAGTCAAATACTTTTCATATTTTGCCCCCTCAGCCAGCTAGAACATTTAGTAGATGCCTGTGTGCAGGCTATTTGAGGAGGTGGACAAAAATAGCTGAGTGGATGAAAGAAGAAGCAAAACAGTATCTGAATTTTTTATTAATTTTTGTCCTTTTGGTGACTCGGAGCTCACTGCTGTTTTTAACTTGCAGTTCCTGAATGCATTCAGTCTTGCTGAGTTGACTATTGTATGGCTGTCATAATCTCTCTAGTATATTTTGTATAAGGCAATTAGGATCAGAAAGAGTTAACTGACATCATGAGATGGGCTCTGCTCATCAGGGTATGAAACCCAGTTCCTGAGAGGGGTTAACCAGTTCTTCAAAAATTTCTAGAGTGCTTAAGTCCTTTGTGCTTGTTACCATTGTCATGAGAGCAGAGTCGCTGCAATTTGAACTTGCACTTATTTGAGTCAGATGTTCACAAGAGACAGTCATGTAATTTTAATGTAATATGTGATAAATCTATTTTCTGTTCATTAGGATTGAAACCATCTTCTGCTTAAGACAACATGTGGACATCCTTCCCCACAAAATATCAATAGCCTAGACTAATACCAGTAAGAAGGATTGGTGGCAGTGAGTCTATCCTAGAGATACCAGATATTGTATGAGTATCTTAGCCAAGATGTCTTCAATTGTAACTTAAAATCGTGTTAACAGACTGTTCAGTCTTCTCGGAGCAAGGCAGCCTAAACCATATCTTCCTTCACTAAACCACTTATGTGCTGTCACAAACTAATTGAGAACAGGAACTTACCTAATGTTTCATATTCCTCATATGAAGACCATTTAGTGCTGACTGCCATCTCTGTTGAAATCCATTAATAAAGCACACACTGAATATTGAAACCTCTATAGCTGTGTGGCTCAGAGTCACAGCAGGCAACACAGCTGACAGAGTTAGCAAGATTCAGTTTTCTTAAATTTGTTTTAAGATTCAGCCGCTCCATTTTTACTGCATTTGCATCTTTTATTTTTAATTCCAACTGATGGAGTGAAATTCTGATTTATTCCACAGACTTTGTTGCTTTTGTGCTTGAGTTGCAGTTGCCCTGTTGCTTCCTTTTGTAGAAAGTGTAGCTATAGTTATACATCCGAAGTGACTCATCTGCTTTCTTTTATTTGCAGGAACTCCAAACCAGTATCTTAGCGCTAGCTACCAAAATCCTAGGAGGATGTGATGAAGTACTTGAAAAACTCCAGCACGTCACCACATCTGTTATTAACAGTGAAATGGCTGACAAAGAGCATAGGTCAGTACAGCTATCATTTTAACCTGACTTGTGTATTTCATGATTATATGGGGTATGTTTCATTGTTGCTTCCCCATGTCCCTTCTCCAAAAGCCTTAGTTCGGTGGCTTAGCTTGTTAACAATTGTCTGATCCTACATCTATTTGAATAAAGCATCACAATACCATCATTTAGATATGTATTCACACGTGTCAAAGTTAATACTGCACACAAGTTGCACCAAATGATGCAAAATCTTGTCTGTGGTTGGGAAGATAGTCTTTCAGCCCATGTCTACATTCTGACATTGGTTTATTTACTTTCCTAATTGAATGGTTGCCTTTTTGACCAAAAATACTATTTTTAATGATAGCCGTTGGTGATATTGAGTTTAATTTAAATGCATTATTAACTGTCCCATTGCATTTATGGCTAATTTGGTCACTCCTATAGATTTGTTAATTAGTAGTGCCCTCTGGTGGAGATGTACGTTTGATTAAATTTAATTGTAAATTAGTTTGTGGCATCATTGCTCATCAGCTTAGACTGTTGTGTACATTGATAACTGACATGAAGTTAATTTTAATTTTGTAGTTTTGTGCAACTAGTTTAGTTTTTAAATTACAGATGTGAATGTTTTGTGCAGAAACTAGAATAGTAGATCTATTGGTTTTTTGTGCACTCAATTTACGAGAATTGGGACAAATAATTTGACTTGGGATGCAAGACCTGGTAAACATGGACTAACACTACTGGGTACTAAGAAGCTCCGAGGAACAGAAGGTGCTTAACCACAAATCCCTGAGGGTAGCAGGACAGGTTAACAAGGTAATTAAGGCACATGGGGCACTTACCTTTATCGGTGGAGGCATAGATTATAAGAGCAAGGAAACTTGCATTGTAGCTGTACAGAAGTTTGGTTAGGCCACAGCTGGAGTACTATGTGCAATTTTGGTTGCCGCACTAGGAAGGATGTGATTGCACTGTCAGGGTTACAGAGGAGATTTACCAGAATGTTGCCTGGGATGGAGAAGTTTAGCTATAAAAAGAGGCTTGATATGCTCAGGTTGTTAGTGAAGGTTGAGAGAGGGACCTAATGGAGGTGTATAAGATTGAGGGGCGTCGACAAGGTGAATGGAAAGGTAGTGTTCTCCTTGAAGGGTGAATAACAAGGGGGCACACTTTTAAGATGAAAGGCAGGAAGTTTAGAGGGAATTTGAGTGAAACATTTTTCACCTAGCAGGCGGTGGGGTATCTGGGAGGGTACTTGAGGTGGGTAACCTCACAACTTTTAAAATATAATTAGATTAACACTTGAAATATCATAATATTCAAGACTATGGGCCAAGCACTGATACGTGGGGCTAGTAGGTTTAGCATAGTTTTGGTGGTTTGACTGGGCTAAAGGACCGTCTCCGTACTGGTATGATTCTGTGGAAGGCCAAGAGGTAAACTGTTTGGGGTGAATATATGGAAAACCTCTCTTTACATAACAGGGATGCTGAGAGCGAGGAAACGCAATCGTAGCATTTAAACTAGGTCAGTTAACAGCAAATCAAGGAAAAAGTTCAGAAATGTGGATTGATAGCTGCAAAGTCAATTAAAATCTTTAGAAAGATGCCTTGGATTAGCTATTCAGGCACGTAGAGAAAAGGATTCTTGTTATTAGCAAGATGGCTGCCTCTGATATCAAAAATAGAGGTGCTGATTCAATGGATTAGCAGTCGACTCCTGTTACTATGCGTGGAACATTTGTATTATTGACCGATAAAATGAAGTGAGTTTCAGGATGCTGGTTAATTCTCAGAAGCAACTCTTCTTAACCTCACTTGTCCTTCCCTACTCCTGGAACACTGGTCGATATCTGTTTCGTGATGCTGAGAACTAGTTTAATCAACGTAGAGATCGGATCTCTCAGAGCTAATACAGCTGTGTTGGATTTCTTGGCCCCGCAGCTGGTCCTGCGCACGATTTGTGCCTCTTGTGGGTGCACTTGCCCGTGCTCTTGCAAAATTCTGATTTTGTTCAATTTGGTTATGAATAAGCTATGTCTAATTCTTCACTGCAGGCTGAAGGGTTTGGAACAGATTACTAAGGCCACTATGTTGGGTCATTTGCTGCCAGTACTGCTAACCTCTTTGATGCACCCAAACTTGCAGACCCTGGTCATGGCAGATGCACTCATGCCACAGCTCGTTCAACTGGTTCTCTACACTAGCCAGGTAAAAAAAAAACGCTCTTTAAAAGTTTCATCTGTTTTGAAATCTACATTTATGATGACCATGTATTTGAACTTTAAAGTAAAAGTGCATATCTCTTGCAAAATGTTTCTAATCTCCAGTTGCTTTTTTAAAACCACCTCTTTTTATGTTTAGTAATTTGTTGGCTTATCTCCATTTTATGTTGTTTCCTGTCTTCTTCCAGACCTGTTATGCATACCTTTTGTTCAATAGAAGTAAATCAGGCTAAGTTGAATCATTTAGAATCCGCATTCCTTCCAGGATGGAACAAAAGAGTTAGAGAAGAAAGATTCAGAAATGGGGGAGGGGAAGGGGGTTCTGAAACAAATAGGGAGAGAGGGGGAGGCGGATAGAAGATCTATAAAGGAGAAGATAGGTGGAGAGGAGACAGACAGGTCAAAGATGGAGCCAGTAAAGGTGAGTGTAGGTGGGGAGTTAGGGAGGGGATAAGTCAGTCCAGGGAGGGGGGACGGGATGAGGCTAGTAGGTAGGAGATTGGGGTGGGGCTTGAGGTGGGAGGAGGGGATAGGTGGGAGGAAGGACAGGTTGGGGAGGCGGGGACAAGCTGGGCTGGTTTTGGGATGCGGTAGGGGGAGGGGAGATTTTGAAGCTTGTGAAGTCCACATTGATACCATTGGGCTGCAGCGTTCCCAAGCGGAATATGAGGTGCTGTTCCTGCAACCTTCGGGTGGCATCGTTGTGGCACTGCAGGAGGCCCAGGATGGACATGTCGTCTGAGGAATGGGAGGGGGAGTTGAAATGGTTCGCGACTGGGAGGTGCAGTTGTTTAGTGCGAACCAAGCGTAGGTGTTCCACAAAGCGGTCTCCAAGCCTCCGCTTGGTTTCCCCAATGTAGAGGAAGCCACAACGGGAACAGCGGATACAGTATACCACATTAGCAGATGTACAGGTGAACATCTGCTTAATGTGGAAAGTCTTCTTGGGGCCTGGGATGGGGATGAGGGGGGAGGTGTAGGGGCAGGTGTAGCACTTCCTGCGGTTGCAGGGAAAAGTGCCGGGTGTGGTGGGGCTGGAGGGGAGTGTGGAGCGGACAAGGGAGTCACGGAGAGAGTGGTCCCTCTGGAAAGCAGATAAGGGTGGGGAGGGAAAAATGTCTTTGGTGGTGGGATTGGATTGCAGATGGCGGAAGTGTCGGAGGATGATGCGTTGGATCCGGAGGTTAGTGGGATGGTACGTGAGGACGAGGGGGATTCTGTTTTGGTTGTTACTGCGGGGAGGGGGTGTGAGGGATGAGTTGCGGGAAATGCGGGAGACACGGTCGAGGGCGTTCTCGACCTCTGAGGGGGGAAGTTGCGGTCCTTGAAAACCGAGGACATCTGAGCTGTACGGGAGTGGAATGCCTCATCCTGGGAGCAGATGCGGCGGAGGTGAAGGAATTGGGAATAGGGGATGGCATTTTTGCAGGAAGGTGGTGGGAGGAGGTGTATTCTAAGTAGCTGTGGGAGTCGGTGGGCTTGAAATGGATATTGGTTTCCAGGTGGTTGCCAGACCTCCCGTGTGATTCGTCCTTGTGGTATACATGCACTTATTGCTGTTTAGAGGAGAGTTCCAGGATTTGACATTAAAGGAATTGGGATAGAGATTCAAGTCAAAATAGTGTGACTCGGGAACCTTGCAAGTGGTGCTAGAGGTTGCATATTGCTGTGCACCAGTTATGAGGGGCTAAATATTTAAGATGGTGGAAGGGGCAATCAAGCAGGCTTTGTCCAGGATGTCACAGGGCATCCCATGGGCATTTGGGTGTTGAAGTTGTACTCCTCCCGACAAATGGACAGTGTTCAGTCTGATTTTTATTTGTAAAGAGTAACTTGGAGAATTTCCCAACTGTTAACCTGCGACTGCTGTTACATTATTTGCGTTACTGGACCAATTATGTTTTTCATCAATGGTTTAAACCCTTCGCAAAATAAAAGGATGTAGAGGATGCAGGAATTAACAAGGCAATGCTCTTGAATGTCAACGGCACATTGAATTGCCTTGTCAGCAATGATAGTTGCTTGACGTTTGCATTTTACTTGCTAACCAGCTGATGGAACTTTGTGCTCTCCGTTTGCTTTACTTTTTCCCCTTACTCTTAGGCTGTCTCTTTTCAAAAAAAGTGAGATGAATCCACATCTGATCATTATGCAGTTTGGTTGTCTTTCTTCCTTATGTTTTGTATTTGTAAAATTAGTTAAATGTTTGATATGAGTAAACTGCCATCTGTTTTGTAGGTTGACTAAATCATTCATTTTTCAGATGATTAAAGTTATGGCTGTTTGGTTGATTTGCAGTCGTTACTGGTATGTAGAGCTCACTATCCTGTTCTCTTGTGTAGACTGCTTTGCTGTTGAAAATACAAGCACCCGTTTTCACGGAGATTCCTGATGAGCCTTGCATTGGATCTGAACAAAGCCAGAAAGGGAAGCTCCTCTCAATGGATGATAGGTGATGGATTTTAATCTGATTATGAAAAACAGGGTGCAATTTCACTTGTCTCACTTTAGTTTCAGGAATTATTATGCATTTGAAAAGGAAATGGTTTGACAAACATAACTCATCATAATTTAAAAATTGTGAGTATGATCTAAATATTTGCAGGGTTGCACTATATTAATCTGGAGTTGGGAGCTAAAATTTCAATTTGCAGTGAGCAAACCTGATGACAAATACTGCTTTTGCTGTGAATCTTGTTTGTGTGATGGGAAACGTTGTGCACTTAACGAGACGCTTTAGGTCACATGAATGGGCAGAACTTTATTGGCTCAAACTTTTCATTGATTGTTGGTAAGAACACCTACACTGACAACATTTAAGTAGACTTTCTGCTTAAGTTTATAAAGTGTCTGGGAGATTTAGTAGATCCTTTTTGCACTTTGAGCTCATTTAAGACACAGTTTATTGTGATCTTATGCAAGCAGTGCCAGATTGACACATTCTGGGGACTTAATCACTGTGGCTAAGTCAATTGCAGCAGAAGTGCAAATATAATCACACACTCAATAATCAGTTTATTAAAAGCTCCTGAAGTTTCCATTTATGTTTGTATTTAAATCTTGCTTTGTTCTTGTGCAGTGTCTTAACATATGATGCAGGTTCATTATTTGGAAATGCAGGTTGTAACTTTGGTTGACTTTTATTTCTATATTTTCTATGGGTGGCGCAGTGACTATCACTACTGCCTTATAGCACCAGGGACCCAGGTTTGATTTTAGCTTTGGGTGACTGTCTTTGTGTAGTTTGCATGTTCTCCTTATGTCGGCATGGGTTTTCTCTGGGTGCTGCAGTTTCCCTCAGCATCCAAAGATGTGTAGGTTAGGTAGATTGGCCATACTAAATTGCCCATAGTGTCCATGGATATGCAGGCTTGGTGGATTAGCCATAGGATGTGCAGGGTTACAGGGATAGGTGGGGGCTGGATCTGGTTGTGACGCTCTTCAGAGGGTTGGTGCAAGCCCACTGGGCCAAATGGCCTCTATATGCACTATAGGGATTCAATGATTCTGTGGATTAAGAAAGGAAAGACTTAGTTTTAGTTTTATTTAAGTTGCTTCTAATGAGTGGTGTAGGGTTGTCTGGAAAGTTGTTGACATATATTTTAAATCTCTTTTAGAGGAACCCTTGATGGGAATAGCTCCGTGCTCTAGAAAATAATGGTAGAAGAGGGGGGAAGAAAAGGGGTTGCTGTCTAGGAACAAGCTGTCCTATAACGCAGAGACGTACACATTTTTTGTTTTTGCATCTGCAAAATTCTTCTCTCGATGTGTTGGGTAATTGAAGGTATTCCAGGAAATTAACCTAGCCCTAATTAGTATTATGTGGTACCTTCCTCTATCATAAGGTGTTCTCTCTGAGAATTCAGGCCATCCCTCATTTGATTTCATCAAATCAGTAGTAAATATAGAAAATGCTGGAAATTCTGCACCAGTCAGGCAGCGTCTGTGGAAAGAGAAATGGTTAACATTTGGATGGGTGGTTTGTTTCATCCACTCTTAACATGTAACCTAATCTGCCTTCCAGAGCTTGAGATTGTTGATCCCTATCCTTTTGCTTGTCAGTCTGTTGAACTGTTTTAGCATCATACTGAGATTGCCTGAATCAAGATTGGCATATGTTAAGAAAGCTGATAAATTAATTTCTTTTTACTAGGAGCTACCGTATGCTGGAGGAAAAGGAAGAGCCTGGCTTTCTGACTGGCTTAAAGATCCCTGCCCCATGGGCAGCTGGAAAGACCGTAGAAACAGTTCATCCTGTGAGAGACAACTATAAATTCAAAGAGACTGTCCATATTCCTGGTGCACGATGCCTCTATCTGCGATTTGACACTCGTTGTTCCTCCCAATATGACTATGACAAGGTAAATGAATGAAAAGAACATTGCATATTCAAATTGTTTAGCATTCAACAAGATCGGTTGAATCCTATTTGTAAAGCTTGGAGGCGCTAGAGCTAATACAGTGACTTTTGTATGTAATCAAATTTTCTTTCAATTTATAAGCACTGACTTTTCATACAGAAGGTACCTAATTACAAATCCCAGCCTAAATTATCAATGATAACTGCTTCATTCAATGACATAATAAACTGAAAATGAAAGCTATAGAGAAAGCTTTGAACAAATTAAGGGGGAGAGGGTTTGAGAGAGAGGGAATGTAGACATAAAAAGCAAAAGGATATCGCGGTATTACAGGGCAACTATTTGAGTAATCCTACCCAACGTGAAACATGAAGGGACAAAGTATACAAACATAGAAAACAGCAATAAATAGGATCAAAAGGGTAAAAAAATAGTAAAATGAAATTGACTCTTGAATGCACATAGTCTTCAGGACAAAATAGATGAATTAATGGCACAAATACAAGTTATTGGGTATGATCTTAACAGCGTGATGGAGACATGATTACAAGGAGATAAAAGCTGGGAACTAAGTATTCAGGCTGTGTGACTTTTTGCAAAGGTAGACAGGAATGAAAGGGTGCTGGGGTAACATTGTTAGTACAGGATAGAGTAACTACAATCGCAAGAAATGATTTTGAATCAGAAGACATAGACTTTAAATGAATGAAGGTAAGAAGTAAAAAGGGATAGAAGTAGTTTATAGGCCCTCCAACAGTAGTTAAGTGGCGGGACAGAGAATAGATCAGGAGATAATGAGGGCATGTAACAAAAGCAATACATTAGCATGGACGATTTTAATCTTCACGTAGATTGGGATAGTTTCATTGGTAGAGGAAGCTGTAATGAAGAGTTCCTGTTGTGTATTTGGGGCTGTTACCTTGAGCAATGTTGTAGATCCAAACATGCTATTTTAGTGATGTGTAATGAGGAGGGTTTAATAAATGTCAGAGTAACAGATCCCCTAGGAAACAGTGGTCATAATATGGTGCAATTTAATATTCATTGTAAGAAGGAGGAACTTGGGTCTGAAACGACTGTGGTAAGATTAAATTATGGTAATTGCAAAGGAATGAGAGCAGAGCTGGCTAGAGTGGGCTGTGAAAGGAGTTTAGCAGCATTTAAGAAAATAGTTCATGGCTCACAGCAAAGATCCAGTGAGGGAGAAGGATTCTAGGAAGGGATAAGCCAACTGTAATTAACCATAAAGTTAAGGATAGTGTTAGTTTTAATGAAAAAAAAAAGCAATGTGGCAAAGATTAGTGTTAAACCAGAGAATTAGGAAATTTTTAATAAATCAATGAAAGACAACGAAAAAAAGAGAAAATTAAACTGCAAAGATAAACTTGCAAATAATATCAATGTGGACAGCAGAAGGAGGAAAGGAAATAAATACAATAACTATCACTGGAGAAAACGTGCTAGGGCGACTATTGGGACTAAAGACTGATGTCTCCTGGACCTGATGGGATGCATCCTAGGATATTAAAGGAAGTAGCTACAGAGAGAGTTGATGTACTAGTAGTAATCTTACAGGAGTCCTTAGATTCTCGATTAGAGCTAGAGAGTTTGAAAGCTGCCGGTGTAACAAAATAAAAAGAGAGGGAGATAAAACAACAGGTCTCTTGGCTTAATGTTGCTTCTTGGAAAAATAGAGTCTACTATAAAGGATGTAATTGCAGAGCATGTAGTAATGCAAAATAACCAAGCAGTGTCAGTACGGCTTCATGAAGGGGAAATTGTGCCTGACAAATGTACAAGAATTCTTTGAGGAGGTAATGAGCAGGATACATAAAAGAGAAGCAGGTAATCATGGGACAACAAGGTGCAGGGCTGGATGAACTCAGCAGGCCAAGCAGCATCATAGGAGCAGAGAGGCTGACGTTTCGGG